ATTACATCTAAACGTATGTACGTTTCGTTTCAAAGACGGGAGGACAGTAAATTTTGAAGACTCTGCCATAATCCCGTTTTCCTCGGTTTTCCCCCGCTTTAATCTCCACAACCAGAAATGGACGAGCATCCTTGCGTCAAATGCGGAATTTATGCGTGCATATAGCCCATTATTTAACACTAATCAGCATTGGTCAATACTTCTGCAATGAAACTTACAGCTGTTACGGGCGGACGGACACCACCCTCAACATAAAGGAGAGACGCACACAGGCGAGCTCGTGTCAAAAATAGGGATATGTTTATTCAGTAGGTCGGTCAACAAATACCGGATAGGTTCACGAAACACAGATAGAGTAGTTACAAAGGCGGAACGCTTCTGATTCCCGGGGTGGACTGCAAAAGCTCCTACGACAGACTGCAGACAGCACGGCAGTGCATCGACTCTGTTCTCAGGCTCTGTGTGCGCCCTCAGGTGTGGTTCCGGAAAACTTTTGTAACTCGAGTATGCGGCTGCTGCTCAGGTGTGGCTCATCTGTAATTAGTTTACACGAGAACGCTCGCGGGTGAAAACGCAAAAATATTTTATCGAATGTGCATTTCGTTTACACGGCGACAGCGTTTTTGGGGCTTAAAGTCCCCGTGAACCGGAAGTTGCAAACGATTTTTCTCCCGTGCTGTGACGTATTTCCAAGTGAAACGGAATATTGAACAGAGGGCAGGGTTTTACTCTAGCGCTCCTCCTCTCCATCTGTCGCTCATAGCAAACTAACGGTTTGAGGGGAGTGGTTAAGCGTTTCCCCACCCAAACTGTGAAACCTACGTCATCAACCGTTTCAGACCGGAAGTAACTTTTCAGATTTTGATTAAAGATTACCAAGGTAAAACATTTTTTTAATATATATTTACTTGCACGGATTAATTGTTCACCACAAGACTAGTAATATGCGCTAACAAAGTAAATAAGTTCAATTTTGATTTCACGGGGACTTTAAAAACGCAAAAAAAAAGTGAAACCACCCTCCAGAGTGGAAATCTTAAAAACGCTCCACTGCCGCGTTCCTGTGTAAAGGGTAAAAACGACAAAAGACTGCTTGACAGTGAAGGTTGTACGCAGGCGCGCGGACTTGGTGATGTTGTAGTATGCATTCCTAGCCGCCTGGAGTGCATACTACATTGAATTTCACACACTTTTGCGTCATCATATGCACGCGGACTTCCCACCCAAAACGCTCGTCTAAACTCAGAATAAAAAGTGATGAAGCAACGCCACTTTTGCGTTTTCTCTTCAGAATCGTTTCCGTGTAAACATAGCCTCAGAGACTCAAACACGTGTAGAAAAACACAGCGGACTGGGGAACGTAACACAGCATAAATACACAAAGCCGAAACAAATTAATTATGTTGATTTGTATAGACTCTGAATTTTAGTAGGCCTGTCTGTTTTGTCAGGCCTGTCCATAAAATTATAAGGGGGGAAAGATGTTTACTGATTCTGATTTTCTGAATTGAGTTTGGATCTGTAGCGGCTCAATATACCGGGTAAAATATATAGCAACATCTATTTAAAATACATTTATTGTAAAGGCACATAAATGAAGCCTATTTTAAATGCATTACATGACGCATCGATTAGCTCTTCGTTGATTGGCTGGCATGTGAATCTTCCGCTCGAGTTCAAATTTTTCAACTTGCGCGGAAGACATTCGAGGCAAAACGAGTCGCCCAATTCGCGTCATTCGCAACGCCCGGTGCGTCTATTCCCGTCTTTGCATTGACTTTGTATGTAATCTACTCGCGCAAACGAATTCGCGTTCGGTGTGAACACACCATAAGACACGAAACAAGCAGTTTGTGTGAGAAAACGAACTGTATTTATATCGTGTTTACCTCTTGTAACCACAGCCACGTCCAAGTATACTGAAGGCACGGGCGTTTCGTTTTCATTCTGTGTTATGGACTTTTAATTTGTTTTACCTTATTTTCATAATTGTTGCTTGGTTCTTGTTCCTGTAGTTACTGATTATTTTCATCACCTTGTTCTAGTTGCTCATTATCTGGTTACCCTTGTGTATTTATTATAGTGATTGTCTTATTGTTTTGTGGTGCTTTATCCCCTGACTACTCCTGATGTGTCCTTTTTACTACAGTATCTTGAATGAAGAATGTCTCAACTACTCCCTGCCACAACGTGACAGAATAACCAATCCAACAAATAGATCTAGCTGTGGCATTCATCAGCCGTCATTACATGGGACATCCTCTTATTCATGAGTTGGATCATTTATCCAAGTTTAATGATCTCAGTCTGAAGACTATCTATTGGGTCAGCATACAAAATAGCCAGTAGATGGATATGCTGGAGATGGGGGATCTGAATAGGAGGGAGTATGTCCTCAACTGTTTGGACTCTGCCCAACCCGTGGTACTGTGTTCCTCAGACCCAGTGCCAGAGACCACAGCGTCATGGACCCATCTAGCCCTTTAACCCACCCACTGCAAACACAAATCTAGAGAACCAGACCGCAGAACCAGATTGTTTTGGATGAGTTGTTTGCAGTCAGATCCCGCCTATTCCTCCACCCTTGACACTGAGTTGCTCGCTAAGAGCTCAGTTAATTTAATGTCCTCTGCCCAGTCTCCCATGTCCCTCATTGCTTCTGGTCGCTCCCAGCCTGGAGTCTCCTTTGTCGCTGCTCGTTGCATCCAGCCTCAAGACTCCTCTGTCGCCACAAGTCTCACACTCCCTCCTTCTCTCACAACGCATTCAGTTCCTCGGCACCTCCTCCACTTGTTAACTTCAGCCCCTCTGCTCCTTCTTAAGTGGCTCCACCCAGCTACTTGGATCCACCTTGTGCTTTTAGGTCTCCAGCTTTGCCCCGGTGTGTTGATCCCGTAGTTTCACCTCGAGTCTCTGAGTCCCGGACACCACCTCAGCTCTCTGACCCATCGGTGACCAACGTGGCTTCATGCTCCCTTGTTTCCACCGTGTTACGCTATCCCTCAGGCATCGCTGGGCTCCTACCACCTTCTGGCTCTGCCTTGTTCCATTGTCATTCTTGTTTTGCCTTAGACTTCCGGGTCTTTGGTTACCCCTTGACTCTCCACCTCTCTGGCTCCACTGGCCCCCTCCTTCACTCTGGTTCTAACATTATCAACAGTCCCCCAGGCTTTGTCCCGGTCTGCCCAAGCCGCTATCTCCAACTGTCTCCTGTGGCTCTGCCTTGGCTCTCCTGGTAAACCCGGGTCTTAGTCTCCTGGGCTCCACCTTGGTCTCTCCCACTTATTCACCTCAGTCAGTTGGTCTACTGGCTCCATCATGGCTCCCACCACCGTCGGTTCCACCGTGGCCTTTCTTCCTAATGGGTTGCTTCCTGGCTCATCCCTCTTTCGTGTCCTCCCTGGTCCTTCCCTCAGCCTTCCTCCTCCCCCCATTGTCTATTCCTCCTGCCTCTCCTCCAATTAACTTTTGGTTTGTGTTTTTCCCTCTACATCCACTGATGTGTAGTCTCTGTTTATGGTGTGTCTTAAAGGATGCGCCTTCCGGGAGGGGAGATTTTCATTCTGTTTTATTTTAGTTTTTTTTTTTCACCTTGTTTTCACATGTTCTCTTCCTGTTTGCTTTGTTTCCACTCGTACATTGTTACCATAGTTACTAGTAGTTTCTAGTTGAGAGTCATTATCTTGTTTCCCTTGTGTAGTATTTATTCACTTTAGTTTCTTTAGTTTTTTGTTGGTTATTGTCTGTTACACTAGACTGTTTTGTTGTATTTTATCACCCTTTAAATGTCACTGTAATTAACCAAATTATTATGGTTTAATTAACTCATATATGACCAGGGACCACAAAAGTGGTCTTATTTGTCCATTTTAAAAAATTGAGATTTATACATCACATGAAATCTGAAATAAATAAATAATTTAAAATAAAATTTCCATTGATGTACGGTTTGTAGACAATATTACAGATACAACTATTTGAAATGGGGAATCTGAGGGTGCATAAAAATCGAAATATTGAGAAAATCGCCTTTAAAGGTGTCCATTTCTGTTGGCGATTGTGCTGAATCCACTTATAAAAATAAGATTTTGATATATTTAAGGTAGGAAATTTACTAAATATCTTCATGGATTTTGATCTTGACTTAAAGAAAAATCAATAATTTTGACCCATGCAGTGTTTTGTTGGCCATTGCGGCCAAGTACTCCTAATAACCAATTGACAATTGCTTTATTGCAAGCTTATAAAACTCTAATCTTACTTGCAGCGATATTGAATAAAGAACTCACGATTTGTATATAGTCTATTAATATATGAACAAAGTAGATACAAAAATATATTAACTATGTATGTTCGGTGTGTTTACAGTGGTTTAATGGACTTTCAGTTTGTCATGTGTTGTCTTTGTTTAGAGACCCGCCACTTGTTTGTCTCTTTGGTTACTCTTATATGTTCATATGTGTCAGCTATGTGTGATCAGTTATCCTTGTTTGTGTTCCTTCTTAAGTTGTTCCCTCACCTGCACTCCTTATCTGGTATTGTTCGTGTTTACATGCTGTTTCGTGTGTTGGCTGTCTTCACCTTCTTTGGAACCTTAGCGTTACGACAGTATTAAGTAGGTACAACTCTTTTTTTTTCAGCTATATCATCTTTACAAGTTTGAAATACAGCAACTGAGGCAGTTGGTAGATGAGTGACAGTTTCATCTTTACTCTTTTCTAACTGCCCCATTTCCGCTTTCCTATTTTTTTTGGAGAAAATAATAAATAAATAGATCGATATTCAATGAGTTATCAGATAGTATTTGTTAGTTTGTTTGTTTCATTGGAGAATAAAAGAACTGTGATATAATTTTCTACAGTATCACACTACACAAGCTGCACTGTTTTTGTTTGTTACTGCATTTGTCCAAACTTAAACGTTCAAATTGTGTTACCAGTCAAAAAGTTGGATAACTGTTTGCCTGTTCTTAAGTCACAAATGAATCTCTGTGTGTCTAGAATCCTCTAGACCCTGGAGGTGTGTTGAAGAAAAGGCTGAACTCCCTCTCCCAAAGAGATGCTCCTGACAGGTTCTCCAGACCACCTCAGTGTGATTTCCATCAGCATCAGCATGGTCCCACTTTCCCTGCCAACAACATGCTGATAGAAACTAGTATTATTGACAAGTACTCACGTATCCTCTTTCCTCTGTCCTTTGGGGCCTTCAACCTGGTCTACTGGATTGTCTATCTCACCAAAGACACTATGGAGTCCAGGTAGGGTTCTTCTCTGTTTGCTAGACCTTGCCGTTTCATTCTTCTAAAGAATATGAATAATAATAATAGTAATTCATTTATATAGTGCTTTTCTCAACACTCAAATCGCTTTACATAGAAGGGTGAATCTCTTCAACCACCACCAATGTGCAGCATCCACCTGGATGATGCGACGGCAGCCATGTTGCGCCAAAAAGCCCACCAGCTTGGAAATGGAAGTTCACAAAATTACTTGAAAAGACCATTTTAAATTTTAATTCGGGTTCCTGCGTAGTTATCATTTCACAAATATGCCTTGTATAATAATAATCATTATAATTTTTATTACATTTATAACATTTATTTAAATATATCATAACTCAATATAAAATAGTTGGGTAACACTTTATTATCTGTGCTTAGCTAATGCACAGATAATACTGAATTAATGTGTAATTAATGATTATTTAAGCTATTCATTAATGATTACCACATTAGTAAGTAATTAAGAGTCTGTAAGGTTAATGTATCAGTTCATACATTTTATTAATTATGTAATTGTGGATTAATTCCATAATAACTCATTTTTTAATTAATATGTTAATTGCCAGAATGAGCCAAAGCCTTGAATTTCAACTTCCAGATAATATGACAGGTACACTAATAAGCATTAATACATAATTAATTACTTCATTGTTAGTGCAAATTCATGTGCAAATTACTACAATGACTAGTTAATAATGATGTGCCCCAACAAGTAAAGTCATAACATAATGATACCTTTGCAAATCATTAGCTAATGATTAATTAAAGCAACCAACTGGAAGTAGAAGTGCAAAGCTTTGACTAATTGTGGTAATTAAGACATTCATTTACACTATTAGTTAATAAAATATGTTATTAAGGAATTAATACATTATGACACATTGAATAAAGAGCAATTCATGTATTACTAAATCTAGTAATAATATAGGCTCTTTATTAGTTGCTGATATAGTAATCATTAATTAAATCAAATACCAATAGTTGCTTAGAGAAATTGGACGTAGGGAAGAAAATATTCAATATTGAAAATTGCTAAAAACAGCTTTTACTATGTATACTATGCAAAAATTATAAAGAATATATTAATATATCAAATTCTTGCCATTTCGGAGAGAGAGAGACAAAGAGAGAGAGAGAGGGAGGTAGGCAGAGAAATATCATGCAGCCTGTTATAACTTAAAAGGTTTAAAGTATCTAAATACACATATCAGGTGTCTAGTAGAAAATGTGAATGATTCAGTAACTTAGTTGATATTAGTCTTAACAGAGAGATGGTCTGAGAGACGGTCAGAGACAGCAACACGGCTGTTTGATTTGCGATCATGTTGTGCTTGTTTCACGTATCCTATCATACAAAGCTTAAATCATTAATAAGACATATCAAATCGTAGAAAATGTGTATGATATAGTATTTTAGTCGTTTATCTTGTCAAGCTATGATTACTGAGAGACACATCTTTTGTAACGAGTTGTCTGGGGTTCAAAACTGGCCCATGTACAGTTTTTATAAAACCAAGCAAAATAGCTACAGCAAAGCAGTGGCTGTAATGTAAATCAAAATCAGGATTCATTTGGTTGCTTTTTGTTTTGTAATTTCACTGAAAGAAGAACAGGTCACAGACTGTGTAGAGTATGCGTCTGAGTGCTGTCTGATGGTCTAAAGAACAGTGCCATTCTCGACTAATGTCTCCACTACCAGGGTTTGCTTCTGACTAAAAGGAAGCATAAAGCTTAATGTAACTTAAATGCTTTTTAAAAGTGTACAGTTACTATTGAGATGAAACCTTCATACTGGCTCAGACAGAAAAGGGCAGGAGTATGCATTGAGGAGTTTCTCCCAGATCCAAAAAACAATTAGTAAGACTGTTGCAAAAAATAAATAAATAAATAAATAAATAAAATTCTCATTGTGAAATATTTGACCCACATTTACAAAGTACCATCCACAATTCAGTGGGGCGTATTGAGTCCTCAGGAACACAATCCTAGTGGACCCTTTTCACAGAATGTGATGATGCATTTCCACAGTTATTAACATCATAAATCTTTATTTTTTCATTTTAATTTAAGTACAATTTTAACAGTCTGCTGTGTTTGATATTGCCTTGTCATTCAATTACATTGCTGCTGTGTGAGTGTTACTAAAATGGCCAAAAACATTGTCTTGTTTATATCTTTCTCTCTTATGACAGGGTTATAATAATGCCCATGGGTTTTGTTAGGTTTAGTTTCACTGTGTTTTTGGTTTCGTTCTGCCTGAATTCTGTTTGCTACTTAGGTCTATTAGTTGCTGATTACAGTCACCTGTTGTTCAATGAGTTTCCTCATTATCTTAACAAGTCCTCAGTTTACTCTGTTCATTGTTCCGTGTCATCAATGTCTTTACTAGGTTGTTTTATTTGTTTCCCGTGTGTTATCTCCTGTGTATTCCATGGTTTGGATTTTTGAATTAAAGAGCCCTATGTTGTGCCGTGTTTGTCACATAAAAGTGTTTTTTTGCTAGTTTCAGCCTGACGCGATTATCATTTTTACGTCCTGTCCAACAATGTTTAAATAGCAAATGCATTTGCGCCCAAATGCACTTTGGGCAAATGCGCAAAATTGTTCTGGTCTGAAAAAACTGGTGTGTTCAGGCGCATTGTTGGAGCATTGCTATTTTGTTGCAAATGAAATAGAACGTGCCATTGACCAACTGAAACATGGTCTAAAGTCAATGGCGGAATTTTTTTCGTTATTTAAAGGGCGCATTAGAAATATGAGCCTATAGGTGGGTCCATAATGCGCTTGCACTCTGTGTATTACACCAACCCGATCTCACTGGAATTCGTACTAATTTTACGAGGTGGCTAATTCGTAACAATTCGTACGACCTCACTCGTACGAATTAGTATGATTTTGCTAAATCGTACATATTTTACGAATTAGCCAAATCGTATGAATTCGTACAAATGACCTACCCCTGACCCCTCCCCTAAACATAACCGTCACGTGGGTTTAGACAAATCGTACAAATTCGTACAAGTGAGGTCGTATGAATTAGTGCGAATTAGCCACTTTTGAATCACTCGTACGAATTGGTCGTGAGATAGCGTATAATACACACACAGGGACACGCAGCAACACACAAAAATGCCAAATGTTAAAAAGAAAAGGATTACAATGTAAGATTATTGTGTACATAACGATATGGTGGAATCCAGCTTGTCCCGTAGATGGCATATTCATTATTTAGACGACAGAATTTGATAGTGGAAAGACCGAACTCGTCTCCAGAGCGCAAACTCATGCTCGAGGTCAAAGCTATCTTCGGCTTGCTGCACATGGTCACTCATTGGCTCCTCCCACTATCCCCTCGATTCACCATTACTCCATATAGTCCACTCGAAGGAGTGAATGAAAACGACTGAGTGAATTCGGTCACTGAGTGCGCCGGAAGGGCTTCCAATTTCGCATAGTTTGTGCTTGGTGATTAATAATCATTTGAAATGTAGCAAACTAGCAGCTTCAGTAGTAAGGAAAAGATTTATCTTGAACTCTGTCATGGAAACTAGCATATAATCCTTAATTAAACAATTTATTTGTTTGTACCTGCATGATATTGCGCTGGACCAGCTCGGTTTGAAAAAGGATGATTAAATTCAACTACACACGCCATCTTCTGGCGAGATGCGAAAATTCATTCATAACACAGTGCGTTATGGGTATTCTCTAGCCGTTGAGTGTACATCGGTTGTTCACTCATTATTGCGGTGCATTGTGGGAATGAATGAGTGCACTCAATATGGTTTCGGACACAGCTACAAATGGCTGTCCCCTCAAATAGTGCCCTATTAAGGCTATAAGGGTGATTTCGGACACAGCCCTAGATTCAGTTTCCTTTTTTGAATGACAAATGTAGATTGAATGTAGAAATGTAGCCATCTGCTGGTATAGACAGTTATCTCCTCACATGCAGGCGCTCAGACATAAAGTATGTGCTAGTTGGCAGTTGGCGGTTGGCTGTTGTCCATTGTTTCCCAACCCTGTTCCTGGAGGCACAGCAACAGTGCACATTTTTGATGTCTGCCTTATCTGACATATATATTTCTGGTTTTGGTGATGAGTTGAATCGGGTGTGTTTGATTAGGAAGAGTTAAAAAATGTGTAGTGTTGGTGTGCCTCTAGTGGTGCGTTCACACCGGACGCGAATAGCGCGTCAGGCGCGAGTGATTTCAAAGTTAAGTCAATGCAAAGACGTGTTATGCGCGTAAAAAATTCCTGCGGCGCGAATGAGGTGTAGAGCGCGGCGCGGTAGACACGAATACGCCTCATTTACGCATCTAGTTTTTGCGAATTGAGCGTCTGGCGCGTTAAGCACAAATGATTTAGTTAGTGCTATTTGTGCATTCACGCGTTTGACGCGAATTCGCCCCTGCCGCCCGAGTTGAAAATTCTGAACTTTGGGAACAATTCGCACCGCGTTAACCAACCAGAAGCCTAGCTGCTTCCTAACGTGGTGAAGAATCTGGATGCTTCAATAAATTATTTTATAATATGACTAAATGCCTGATGTGGTTCTAATGCAAAGCAAAACAAATATTTCATCACTTAAAACATTATTTCTATATACGAGACATGTTCATTTTGTATTAAATGTTATTTATTCCATATCTAGATTATATGAAATATTATAATGTAAAGACAACCAACAACATACATGTGCATAAGTTCGTGTCTGGACGTGAGAGAGAAAAAAAATCACAGGACAGGTTAATAACTTTTGGAGGCTGGCTCTATTTATCATCAAAACAAAAATAAATGACAGATTAGATGGATGGGGGCAAGGGTGATCCTCGCCCGCTCCGATGCGGGACAACAGGTCATCAAACTGGACGCGGGACAGGCAGAAGTACAGCTGACAGCAGCCGTCATCCAGCGCAGCTCCTGGTGAAACTCGCCAAACGGTTCGCCTCCGAAGGGTCCGGTGGACAGAAATA